TGAAACATGTGATTATGATCTACATCGTAAATTGTGACTCTATAATACACTGCTGTATTCTACTTTATGCATTTATCATTTCGCTAATATCAGTCAATCATATGAAAAAAACTTGTAACGAACTCATCACTACTAAGTTTAATTAAATCTTCACATTTTAGTCAAATACTGAATATTCACTTGGTATTGTTTACTTGTATCTTCCCATTGTTGTTTAGGATTGCAATTGATCAGTCTCTTGTTGGCATATGTACATCCTATACGGACTGCCTTGATATTGCCTGAAGTCACAAGCTTTATAAACAAAGATGGATAATGGATAGCAGTGAAATCCATGACGCGCGTTTTGTCCTACTTGAGACTCGTCAGCTGAATGTACCTGCATCTCATAGTTGCAATTTCCTATCTCTCATATATATCTATACAAGCAATTTACCCTGAGAAATTCAAACATTTGTCATACTTTTTATAAACTTTCTAGTTTGACTGAATAATTTTTTAAATTTGTCTTGCTTAGGTAATCGTTTGTCTAAATAAATAAACAATATATGACTTGATGAAAATAAACGGTTTTTAATTGTATGTTAAATGAACGTATTTCAGTTGTCTGAATGTATTTCTTTCATTGATTAACTCTGGTTATGCTATCTTAACCTTTTTTTATTTTCAAAAATAGTCCTCTTCATAGAATAATATCAACTATAATGCCGATGACGTCCAAGAAACACATAACAGCTAAGTTGTTTTAGATTAGAATTCTTCAGCAATTCTCACTTACAACCAGATTATGAATTAAATCCAGCATACGCAGACTTCTCATCGTTCATAGTCCATTCAGACAAATCTCATGGCACTTGTTTTTTTTAACATATCCGCATAGTACCTTAAGTCATTCAGATTTGTTAACACGTATGAATGTTTAGTTTTTCATAAGTTCTTTCACTGATCCTCAGACGTTCCCTATCTTCTTTGCCTGATTTTTTTTCAATCATAGTTATGGTTGCGCATTTTTGAAGTATACCTTAAAGATGGGATATTGAGAATAAAGTTGATGACCTCTTCATTTACAAATACACTAACACAAACAAACAATGAAATGACGCTATATATGGTAACTGATATCAATCAACGTTGACAGGCACAGAGCTTTATTTTACCGAAAAATCTTCGAGATTAGAAAATGAGGAAATTTTAAGAATTTCAGAAGATTTCTTTAAGCTCAGCAATCAGATATTAATAAACAATTAAGTAATAAACAACTCATTCACAAAAAATTGCTAAACGGCATGGTCAGAGGTCAGAAGAACAAGGTATAAAGGTTGAATACATGAAAGGCAGTGAAACCTAAGAAGCAAACCTATCACAAATAAGGACAACGTAAGAAACACTTGTAGAATACCTAAGAAACTCATTGTTACGTAAGGTGGTACTGCCGTTCAGGACGATAATAAAAGCGCAGCGATTAGAACATCTATGACAATAAAAAAATGTAAACCAGATTGATTATTTTCATCTAAGAGCTTTCCTTACCTAACTTCACTCTCTTTTCCCATTATATACTTTTCATTTGTCTAAACTGTATTATAAATTTTCTTAAAAATGTATGAAAAGAACAATAGTGTCTATTTTACACTCCCAAAATCATAAAAACAAATCATTTAGGGCTTCATTGTATCCAGCACTATAAAAGCTTTTCATAATAATAATAATAACGGTACTGAGTTCGAGTCCCAGAGTGAACACAACTCTCAGATGCAGGTAAATCCAGTTGACGAGTCCCAAACGGGACGAAACGCGCGTCCTGGATTCCATTGCTAGCCACTATCCATCTTTGCTTATAATGCTTGTAAATTAAGGCAATATCAAGGCATACGCACAGTATACACATATGCCAATAAGAGACTGATCAATTTCATTCCTAGAACAACAACGGGAAGATTCAAGTAAAACAATACCAAGTGAATAGTAATAATAGTTCAATAAACTAATTACTGTTTATTTTCAACATTTTTTCTTCGTTAAAAGTACTGTTTCTTATTTTCACTCATGAAATGTTTTCTTAATCGATTTTTAACATGGAATTCCTTCTAAAGTAAAATTATCCCCACAGTTTTAATACCAAAGAGAATGCTGGTGAAAAGACATGTAAAACATGGATGCGGGCTAGCAATGTAATCCAAGGCCTGTGTTTCCTACTATTTGAGACTTGTAGCTAGATCTACACATATGTATTCATATGTTCGTTTGATTAGCTAACCTTTAACCAAGTTCAGAACTGATTATTATAACAATTCATCCTTACATTTGTCAATATATTTAATCAGCACAGAAAAACCAAACATGATTAAAACATTGAATAGTAAGTTTTAATAGTCGAAATGAACATCAAATTCATTTCTCCAGTCGATTTATTATTTTCAGAATGGGTTTTTTTGGAGATTTCAGTAATTTTAATAGTTGAATACATGAGTCGATGCAACGTAGACCACCATTGAAAACCTGGATGCACTGGACGGCCGTCTCGTCCTAGTATGAGACGCCTCAGCAGTGCACATCCACGGTCACACACGCGGGACTCAGACCCGGGATAGCTGATCTCGATCATGAACATTTAAACTCCAGACCTCTGAGCCTGTATCCAACAGTGTTACTGTCTAACTTCAATCAATCCATGGTCTTGTGCAACTCTTTATCCATTGCCTGATGTAAATACCTGTCTCTACCTGACACAAATTGAACTCCAGTTGTCATGGCTTCTCATTAGAAATCCAGCAAATCTATCTTGAAACCACTCACTAGTGAGCACATGATGATTATTATCAGACTAGGAGTTTGTAGACTGAATTCATGAGTCAAGTTTTCTATGATAGTTTCCAATAATGGTTTAGCTTATCTTAAAGTAAGTGAATAACTAAATAAAATCTTGATTATAGTTTATAGTGATCAAGTTGAAAAATTTTAAGATCATTAGATTTGCCCATAGATAGATAATTATGTATGAAAATAATTTTGAATACAAGACTACTTAATAAATCATGTAAAAAGTAAATTGATTGATAATTTGATAGACAGGTAGATAGATAGATAGATAGATAGATAGATAGATAGATAGATAGATAGATAGATAGATAGATAGATAGATAGATAGATAGATAGATGATATAGATAGATTAGATAGATAGATAGATAGATAGATAGATAGATAGATAGATAGATAGATAGATAGATAGATAGATAGATAGATAGATAGATAGATAGATAGATAGATAGATAGATAGATAGATAGATAGATAGATAGATAGATAGATAGATAGATAGATAGAGTGAAATGAAATTCAAGTTACTAGTATATATATAGATTATTGCTTGATATTAAATTGAAAATATTGAACTGTCTTTTGATCGAATGATTATCATTATTTACTTGTGTGATTACAAATAACAATCAGCTTACCATAAATTAGTTACTTAGTTGCATGGATAAAGCATCCAAGTTATATTTCAGTAAGAAATCATGGATTGTAAAACGATGTGATATTGTATATTAATGGCATAATCACGTGAGATAGGAATGGGGAGAAAACAAATGATTTTTGGCAATCATCATATGATATTTTGCTTCACAAATTGTATTTTTGGGAAACTAGAAAGTAGTGTGTTTTATTGATTATGTGAAAAAATACAGTAAGATAAATAGTAGATTCATTATGACCTTCTTACTTATGCCTGTTACCCCCCCACACACACATGGAGGAGCATAGGCCACCCACTAGTACTCTCCATCCAACTCTGTCACAAACAATCATTTCCAATTCTTTACAATTGCTATTCATCTATTCATGTCTGCTCCCAATTTTCGGTGCAGTGTGTTCATCAACCTCTCACTTCTACGTTTCCATTCAGGATTACATGTCAGCCATTGCTTCATGATGCAGTTTAGTGATTTCCCCGATCTGTGTCCTATCTACTTCAAACCAAGATTCAGTCAGGATATTTTAAAACCATGTAACTAAGCTGTCCCATTCACTTGGGCTTTATAACGTCCCTATTTGAGTTACTTAGTTAGGCATCCATAATGTAGTACTGAACGAAACGACTGGTTACAATATGCCAAAAAGTTGTATTAAATAATCTTCTTACTCAGTGATTAATAGTGATCACTGTTCATCCATATAAATAAATGTAGTCATCACTAGGTTATCTCCGACATGGCCGAACTCAACTTGTCAGATCATTACACTAGAACTCTAACAATTTTTTCTAGAAATTAGTTATTAGAGAGTACACGATTACCATTAGTGTAAGGGATTAGTGGTGATTTTTAAGTTTTATAGTTTGCATCAGGACCTGAGTTTAGTTAATTAACCATTAAAAACTAGGAAGCAGTAGAATGTTGTTACATTTTATTATTAGATGACTCAGTAGTTTACACTCATGACTGGACCAGGGATCGAGCGCAGGTTCATCAGGTCCGGTGTCTAGAGTTCATCTTGACTTCATATTCGTACTTCTGTAGAGTCACATACTAGGACGAAACAGCCGTTCAGTGGTTCCAAGTTTACAATGGTGGTATAGCACTGATTGGTTCATAATCTCAACTAAAATCCAACAACCGTTACAACCCTATACTGATAATTATTATGTGCTCATTAACAACTTGTTTCGAGAGGGAATTCTAAGAGTTCTAATGAGAAGCCGTTTATACTTCTAACAGTAGGATATTTTTGGGGTCAAATGTCCTTTAATCACACAACATTTGAGAGAAAAGCCAGTACAATACATAGACACATCACTTACATTTGATCTATTCATGATTTCATCAAGGAAATATTTAATAAATTAATTCAATTAACCAATAAATAACAGACTAATGTCACCAATCAAATTAAAAACTTATAATAAACCAATAAGCTTTTAATTGTATTTTGCCAAATATTTTAATTGGTTAATTAAAAACCATATGTTGATGAGTCGATGATATTTATTTCAATCCTATTTAGAGTTAATCGAAATGTTCATATTGTGAATTATTTTCAACAACTCTCCTAATATATGATGTAATCTATCGAGATTCATCATAGAAAGAATTGTTGTTTGCTAAAGGGGATTTAAAACTAACTTTTGAAAAGTATGTATCAATCTAATAACAATAATAATAATAATAATAATTCTCATTATTGTCCAGAATACTCAATGGGAAATTGTTCATTATGTAATCACACAAATTATGGTAATGAATATTTACATTCAGAAAATGACACTAATAATGATACTTCATTCCAAAATTTGTATAATATGTCGAACTCTTTATCATATCCACTACTTTGCAGGGAGTTTCATAATACACTAACTACTAATACTGATTCTCAAAATATAGCTTCAGCAGATACAATGCAATCAGATATATCAACAAATTATGATACTACATTATTGATGAATACAATAAGAGATTTTGGATGGCCATATTTTGAAAAATCCACTTCTGCTTTTTCTTTATGTTCACATGGAAAACCCAATTTCAGTTCAAGTTATCGTGATTGTCGTCTGCGTTATATTAAACAAACAAGAAAACTACAAAAATATCTTCGTGTTACACCTGAAGGTCATATATTAGTGAATAATCCGAAAATTGAACATCACCATATACTACATCATAGTTTAAATCAATCACCTGGTACTCAATCTTACAATAATTCCAAAATCAATACATTGGAATGTAAAGGTAACTTAAGTAAATTTACTACAAATGGTCAGGACTATGCAATAATCCATTTGGTTCATTAATTAGCACACCAAAAATTAAACGTATATATACAGCATTTTGGAATTTGGAACCACGTGAAAGTATCACTGTACACAAATTACCTTCATCAAAGACTACAACATTTACAGAATCAACAACTTCATCCCTGAATCATTATACAAATGGTTATGATTACTTAAATACTACTAATCATGAACAAATTGATGAGTTGGAATTCCCAACGCATAATAATAACGATAACAATAAGGATATTACACCAAACACTCCACAGTTAGAACCTTTAATTGAAGATTCTATAAACGATAAAATAACAGATTATCAGATCTAGTCATGAAATCAAATTAATTTAGAATATATTTATATATTTTTATTTATTTCCTTTTCAATTCATTACTTCGCCCTAATTTATTAAAACAAAAACAATTAAAATCAACAATAGATTATTCTCTTAGATCTGTATACATATGCATATTTTTATGTACATAACAAACTGCATTTATCAACTGAACTAGACTTTTATTTCCGGTATAATATCCTGCTGCTGGTACTACTGCTGATGATGATGACGATGACGATTATGTTGATGGTGATACAGATATTAATGACTGAAGTATAAGGGTAAGATTAAGATAGATATCTTAAGGTTATGTATGTAGACTGAGTGTTTGAATGATAGACGATAACCAACTTTTGATTACACTTAGAAGAAAACTTTATATATTTAGAGATTTGTTTCCAGATAGAAGTATTAAGAAAATGTCTATCAATAATACACATATACTTAAGAAAAGAATGGTCAATTAAATTATCTGATAATTTTGTTAACTGACTGAAAAATCGATGATCAGTTAATGACAGATATTTAGTTATAAGCTAATTCAAACCAAAGATATTTATGCCATAAATTGAATAATATACTAGCAACGTCACAATCGATTGGTCACTGGGTGGTGATCAATGTCATGTGTGTCAAGTCCTTATTTAGTGCAGATCAAATGCTATCGGCCAGGTTGCAGTGTGGCCACCAGTTTAATTGATTCCGCCAGGGAGCACCACTTCCCTCAAGATTACAGGTACACCTTGCTGACGAGTGCCAAGTAGCACGAAACCCGGATTCAGGGTTCCCTGTCGACCACCTCCAACCACCACCTAATCTCAATACTAGCAACGTGTTAGATATTAAAAAATTTCTTGCCTTGATTCTGTTTTTAAAACTTAGACTGTACAACTAATTTTATCTACATTAAAAGTAAAGTGGAAAATCTCTTTCAATATACTTTTGAATTTCTGTTTAAAATATTAGTAAAGAATAGAAAACTACTGAGTAATTAAAAGTTTCCCTAGTAATTATATCGTTGCTTACACGTGTTTTATGTATAGTCATATATGTAATGATAATGATGTTCACGAAACACATGAAATCTTAGATGGAACTTTGAACTATGTTAGTAAACTAAGTATAATCACTTCAAAAATGTAATAACAAAACGATACTAGAAACACTAGATATTCTCTACTTTTAAAAAGAGGTGGATTGATTTAAATCGGTAGTCCAAGAATATAAGTTATTTTTTAAACACAAGTTACCATAAATATGATTGGTTACTTTAAGTTTCTTGGAAAGACTCCTAGTAAGTTGGGTTTTCAAAGTACCTCATAAAGCTTCAAGACATGATTCTCTTTAAAAATAAAAAGAATTCAGTGAAGAAATTTTTCTTTTCGATGAAATCATTTACTTAAGCTGTACATTCATAATGATAGTTATATGGAAAATATATGTCTATAGAAGGATAGGAAAGATTGCATCATAAATTGATTCGAGACTCTTATTACCGACAGTACAAAAGAAAACTCTTTTTATGAATATGGGATTTAGAGGAGATACAGTTACTGACATCTTAAATAAACGAATTTTAAAATCTTTGAATAAAATGTTCTACTCAGCTAAGCTCCGAATTGTTTTCTCAAGCCGGCCTACCGTTCATGGATGTGTTAAAGATAAACTTCCGCTTTGAGCCACATCAATGTGCATCTATAAGTTTACTTGCGCATGTGGGGCAGGTAAAATCGACCACACAAAGTAACCACTTTCCAAACGTTTCTCAGAACATTATCCGGCATGGTTTTTAAAAGGAGAATGCAAAACAATTACCAGTTCAATACAGGAACATTTAATCAACTGTGGACACATCGCTCTAGAGGAGTCTTCTTTTAAAGTAATTTACACAGTCAAAGGGATTGGATCAAAGAGCAGTCGAATCAATATTTTATGCACTGCTGAGGCATTGGCAATCCACGAACTCAAGCCCGAACTTTGCATGCAGAACGATTCGTCTAACCTTTCATCCTTCCTTGGCCCTAATTCCCTATATTGGTATGTTTGGATTTTTTCTTTTTTCTTCATTTTCATTTAGTTATCTTTTAAATTATTGTTTCGTAGTTTCGAACTCTAATCAGTTATTGTTATTACCTTTAAACAAGTTTCATTGATTATTATTCAATTTTTATCATGATGACCTTTATTTTTGTGGTTTTTCTTCATATCTGTCAATTGGACAATTATTTGACCCGTAAATTAGTTTCATCTTTATATTCCTTCCTTACCTCTTGATTATTGCGTAACCTCATTTGATAATAAGAATCTATGGTCAACTTATGGTCCAATCTTTTTTATCCTTCTATAAAGATATATTTTCTGTATAAATATCAATATGAATGTACAGCTTAAGTAAAAGATTTCGTCGAAAAGAAAATATTTTTCGCTAAATTAAAAATGAATAACTCCAAATTCTTATGAGCGAAGATGGATGGTGGATAGCAGGGGAATCCAGGACAAGCATTTCGTCCTATTAGGGACTTATTAACTGGGTGTATCTGCATACCAAAGTTAATGTTCACTCTGGGACTCAAGACCAGTAACATTCACTTCAAACCCCATCGCGTTATCCACTCAGCTACTGAGTCGTGCTAGCCACTTGCATGTGCAATGAGGCGAAGTTTAAATTCACTTGGTATTGTTTACTTGAATATTCCGATTGACGATTAGGGCTGCAATTGATCAGTCTCTTATTGGACTCAGTAGCTAAGTGAATAATGGGATGGTGTTTGGAGCGAATGGTACTGGGTTCGAGTCTTAGAGTGAACATCAACTTTGGGACGCAGATACATCCAGCTGGCTAGTCTCAAATAGGACGAAACGCTTGTCCTGGATTCCACTGCTAGCCACCATCTATATTTGCTTATAATACCTGTGAATTAAGGCACTATCGATGCAATACGCACAGTATGCACGTATGCCAATAATAGACTGATCAATTGCAGTCCAAATCATCAATGGGAATATTCAAGTAAACAATATCAGGTGAATTTAAACTTCAAGTTCTATTTTTATAAAATAAATTTAAAGATTTTGTTGTAAACCACGGTAATTTCAGTATTTCATATAGTCACCAACACCTTATCTTACTACTACATCGAATACTTATGTCTAAGTCTGTCTTGATGTGCTAAAACTGATTGCTATTCATTCTTTAAACTTAATCTTTGAACATATATTTTAGTCATATATTTCCAAAAAGATGACTTTTTCGACTGGGAAAATAAAACATATGGGCCTACTGAACCAAAATGTATTAAGAAATACTTGCCAATAACCTTTTTTGTAAATAATATGTCTGGGAAGATTGAAGTTTGATAAGCAAACATCTTACAGTCATTTATTTTAAAGGCATTTTAATCATGATTAATTCTCTGTTAGTTTCTTAAAAATAACTAACTTTTTCCTATTAGTTGTTCTGTCTTTGAATCTATTATTTTATTCATTCAGTATTTATACGTAATAGTACCTTAGTTGCATTTTACATCAGTTTTTGGCAACCAGTTGTAAATCTACAAACAAACATACAATAATTGTTGACAATTTCTCTATTAGTCAAAATTGGAATGACATAATATGCCGTCTACAAATGTCTATAGAACTTGAATGTGTTTTTTGCATTGTAAAAGAGAATATTCATTTATTATTCCTAGTAATTAGAATGGAAGTGATTTTTATGTAAAGCCCAATTGAAACTATGAAGAAATGACTTATATTAAGTCATTAAACATCAGAAATACAATTTCCTACTCATTAGAATATCACAAAAAAAGATATTCATTATTAACTTTCTACCCAATGTTCAATTTCTGTGTTACTATCAAGTCCAACCTGCGCCATTGATACCTATAGAATAATAAACAGTTCACAGATTTTCTCTTATTTACTATTTAGTTAAGTTGAGCTCATTATTCTAAATGTAACAGTCTAGATTGATGCACAAATAAGTCAGATTGTATGTTTTTGTATTGAAAATTGAAATAAAAAAGCGTGTTACTACCAACACATCATTGACAACCATAAACTATGTTACAAACAATCTCTTCATAACTATTGAAGGAAGTTTCTTGCTGATATTAGATCAAACATTTAAACAAATACCAAAAATTAAATTGGGCAGGAACCTGGAGAACTACGAAAGCCATCATTCAGAAGATACAGGTGTTTATTAACAGTTGTCTACGCAAAATACTTCAGATCCGTTGGCCGGACACTATTAGCAACAACGTACTGTGGGAGAGAACAAACCAGATCCCAGCGGAGGAAGAAAGTAGGGAGAAGCGTTGGAAGTGGATAGGACACACATCGAAGGAGGAATTCAGTCGTGTCACAAGACAAGCCCTCACATGGAATCCTCAAGGCCAAAGGAGAAGAGGAAGACCAAATAGCACATTACGCCGCAAAATAGGGATGGACATGAGAAAAATGAACAAGAATTGGATGGGACTAGAAAAGAAGGCCCAGGACAGAGTGGGTTGGAAAATGTTGGTTGACGGCCTATGCTCCATTAGGAGTAACAGGCGTAAGTAAGTAAGTAAAGTAAATCTGATCATTTGACATATTTAATTATTATAGAAAATTGAAAGTAAATACATAACTTATAGATTATTTACATAGAATTAAGTACCATATTTTATGTATTATGCTGATCATTAGCATAGTTTTCACAATTTACATTACCTGTTCAAGTAAGGCAAGTTGCAGATGAAGAATATCAACAGATCTAAAACTTAGTTTTTGAATTACTGTATATTATTTTAAAATATATTTAGCTTAAGTGACAGTAATGCTTATAATTCGATTTACACATTTGAAAATAGTTCATGTGAATACATTGATCATTTTATTGTGGTGTGTGCTACTTATATTGACATAAGTAGTATATGATGTTAGTCGTGAACAGAAGGTTTGGCAGCGAAGAGACAAGAGGATCGAACAGTAAAGAATGGAGCAGGATGCATTTTGCATGAAAATGCGAGAACAATGGAGTCTTAGTCATTTTGAGACAATTGGTGGACATTTTGCAGATTAAGCATTTATGACTGTTAGATTTTATTAACAAGTCCTGTAATTTTGTGTTAAATACATTCGATTGTTCCCCACTGGTGTTTGTGTTCATTACATTATCACTT